TCCAGATTTGGAATCAGCATTAAATTTCAATTCGGAAAATCGAAGTTTTAAGAAAAGCTTAAATCAATTTCCAAAAGTAGGCAGTCACCTTAATCGTTAGTTTGGTTTCCGTGTGTCTATTTGGGAATCTCCCTAACACAGGGAACCCAGTTCTGTAACTAATAATCCTCTATATCTTTTGTTTCTAACATTTAGAGGATGTAAAGAGGTTGGTGAAAGACCAGTTTATTGATGATATAGTGTTCAAGTGTTCTTCACTGGACAGTGACTTAATCAAGGCAGTCAAAAGACTCATCAATGAGCCTTTGCAATTTGCAGGTAAAATAATATTACATATTAGGATTTGCGACAACCCTATAATACATCTCTTAACTTTGAGTCTAATTTTTCCCATTTTAAACCATGTGTTATTCCCTAGAGTATTATTTCTTTGTTTATCAGTTGTGCACAAGAAGACATGAATACTGATACAACTTAAATGACACATACTATGAAATGAGTTTAAAATACATACATACATACAAAAACTTTATTTCCACACAATAAGTAATTAAAGCATACACTTATGGAGTCATGCAAAAAAATCAAAATAAAAAATATCAGGCCAAAGCTAAGTGTCTCTTTAAACAATTCCATAATAATATACTACAGTAATATTACAGTAAGCAAATAGAGCGGATGCAATTAAACTGTGAAATAAGATCAAACTAAATACTGACTAATAGTATCTATTTAGTGACAAATAGTCTGACACTATCACTCAACCAGAACATTTATTAAACAAAAGACACAAATGGTCTCTTTTTTATTTGTCTTTGTATGATGAATGTTCTGGTTGAGTAATAGTGACTATTAGTCACTAAATAGATACTATTAGTTAGTATTTAGTTTAATTTTATTTCACGGTTTAATTGCATCGGCTCTAACAAAGTCTAGTCTGAAAAGTATAGTCTATTGTTATGCTTTATAATAATAATAAATATAGAATGTTTCTAGCTGAGATGCAGAGACCAAAGTAATAAATAATTTACAGATTGAATGAAGTATTTTCTTCCTCAGTTACCCCAAAATCCAAAAGAGGAGAATCTGTCACTCCGAAATCCACACAGGGGGAATCAAGTGCCCCTAAGAGACAGAAGTTAGAGAAGAAGATACCTTTGTCTGCAAGAAGGTGCATCGCAAATAACTTCCCATCCACAGGTAGGACAATCAGTACTCCACAATGTGACATATGTATATGAATGAATGAAAAAATGAATGAATGGATGAATGAATGAATGGACAGATGAATGGATGGACAGACGGATAGATTAATGGATGGATGGATGGATGGATGGATGGATGGATGGATGGATGGATGGATGGATGGATGGATGGATGGATGGATGGATGGTTGAATATATCAATAAACGAACCCAATAAACATATGGACAAATACTGAGCAGGAACTAAACCATTTCTGATACCATTCTCTATTTTCATTTCCCATTTACTTCCCATTCATCTCTTCCTAGATTCAAACACTGATTGGTCAGCATCAAGTATGAATGGCATCCAGGAGGATGGTACAACTTTCATCAACTTGGATAGCACTACAGCAGCACATCATGCAGCAGTTTATGAATCTTCCTTCAACCCAGAAGTAGCTGTCATTACCCACAACCAAGACCAGAGATGGATGCCATCACAACACCTTCAGTACAACCACTACATACCAGGTAATAGTGCCAGTTAATAGATATTAAACCACTATACAATGGTTATTTAGACTGTTTGATGGGTGCAAAGTTAAGCACAGAAAATGAACCTATTCCCACATGCATGGGTTATGACTTTTTTCATAAGGCTAGGATAGTACTATCAGAGATTGTCCTCAACTCAAAACACTCTGGTTCTGTTGTGTTGTCGTGGTGCTCCTCTGATTCAAATAGATTAGTTGGTTACCCAAAATTGTGCAACTGCAAATCAGCAGTGCAACGAAGAGATTTTAGATTTAGAACATTTTCATTTGCCAAGTATGCACATAAAGGACTGATGCATAAGCAAGCAATATTGGCAGTGGATGCCTGTAGGTTTTATCAAATAATTTGTTTTCATTACAGTCAGCTGCCTACCAGAATATCAGCATTCACCTCAAGAAACAAGCAACAAGATGGAGTTACTTACAGCTGCTGCAGAGATGACCCAGGATATGACAAGCATCAAAGAGGCGAGTCCTCAAAAACAAGCCCTTGATAACTCAACTGACGCTACTACTGACAACGATGAATCAGCAAATATATTTACCAGAATGAAAAACTTCTACCCATCAACAAATGAAGCCTCAGATTCACTCAGCTCAACACCCCAAGCACAACAAATTAGCTCCTCAACTGCAAATCAAATGCAACTTGCATTAGAAAATGCTGAGAGGGCAATAAACTGTAGTCTACCAGAGATGTTTGCTGATGAACTGGTTCCTAAGATCACTTTAAGTAGTGCAAGACAACTGCTGGATTCTGCTCTACTGGGAGTTCAACCAAAGTCACAGGAAAAAAAAGCTCAACTTGGGAAAGAAAGAGATGCAAGTAGTAGAAAACAGACCAAAAAAAGCAATGAAGGACTCAGTAAAACAAGTACTGATGGATGTGATAAAGGCAAAGATGAAGAAAAGCCCAGAAGGTGAGGAATCCCAGAATCCAGCTGAGGGACCGATCATTTATTACATCATAGGGAGGAGGCATGAAACAAAAATTTGTAAAATTTGTACCCCCTACAATATTTTTCAATAAGAAATCCATCCCCTTTTTCATCACAGTTTTTAAAAACTTCTACTTGTATTGCATGAAAAGTGTAAAATCTAAAACTGTACCTCCTTATTTTGCAAAATTTTACAAAAAATGTACCCCCCAATTTTAACGGACTTTGAAACTCCCTAATCAGATTTATGACGTATTACTTATTTGGAATTTATAATGATAATGCATTAACTAATATTAATGATACAAGCAGGTCCAAAAGAGGCAGACGATCTGGTACCTTCAATATGGATAAACAAGAATGGACACCAAATACAATTGAGGAAAGAAAGGAATTACATTTGTCCAAGGAACGAAAGAGAAGGTAAAACACCCATTAGTTGGTCACAGACCTTAAATCAACCTTTACCTGGGTTTTGGCTTATGCCAAACAGGTTTATAACATGGTAAAGGTACTTCTAGGTATACAATTTAGCAAGATAACTAGTTGTAAAAGACAACGTTTCGCTGTCATCTCAACAACATCATCAAGACAACAAGGTTTATAACAATGTGGGCTTTCTTTCTTCGGTTAAAAGAAGCCAAAACCTTGATGCTGGTATTTTTTCTCATTAATTAATTGTCCAGGCTGTGTAGTTTGAGAAATAGCTCTAATGGACTACTTTGACAATACAGTGGCCATCAAGAATCGCAAGGTGTTATCCAGCAGGGGGCAAGGTAAAATGAAGATGGCAGATAATACATAGAGTTTGTGTGCTTGTCTTTTTTCATGGGTGAAGGTGATTGATATGCTCTCTTTGGCTGTAATAATGACCAGTAATATGGAGAAAAAGATACACTTTACATTAGCTCTGCATCTGCTCCCTGGGTGCCATAATAATGTCTTGCAATCCAAGATGGCCACCATATAGTCCAAGTAGTCTATTATCAGGACATTAAATTAGAATGATACTGATATATCTATAGGGAAAGGATTGCCAGGTGCTGGCACCAGCTCAGAAGGTTGATCCCCATGTGTTCAGACAATGCTGACAAGGCTACAGTATTTGAGATGACAGTAGCATATCTGCACCACTGCTGGAAGCACCATGCGCAGTTCATACTGAACATCAACAAGGTAGACAACACTTTCAAATGCCATAACTAAGTTTATACCAGCTTCAGCTTCATAAAAATGCTTACATTTGCTTAGGACTGGTGGTGGAGCAATGATGATGATGATGATGGATGATGGATGATGTCAGTTCCAGGATGATAACGATTAGTGGATGATGACAATGATAGTGATAGATGATAATGAAGATTACAGTGCTAGTGTAGGTGAATGAATGCAATGATGATAGTGATGGATGGTGATTACGATGATAGTGATAGACGATAATGATGATGACAGTGCTAGTGTGGGTGAATGAATGCAAGGATGATAGTGATGGATGATGATGATGATGATATTGATAGATGATGATGACAGGGTTAGTCTGGGTGGATGATGACAATAAGTGGTGGATGGTATGGTGACTCTGTGCTAGTGGTTAAAGATCACAATGATGATAGTGGCAGTAGTTCGGGTGATGGTAATGGTGATGGTTATCAATAGTTGTAGTGGTGGGGGATGAATTGATGATAGTTGTGATGGTGGATGATGATGATAGTTCTAGTCATAGGCCTGATGATGATGGTGTTAGTGATGGTAAGTACTAGTAGTGGCAGTGATTATGAAAGCGACAATTGTGATGTTGCCTAATGATTGCTATCATGACAAAAATATTTCCATCTTAGCAATAAAAATATTATTCCTTTTAAAAAAAATTCTAAAAGGATTTTGAAAGATTCTGTGGTGAAAACGGCCCTCCTGAGGATCTGGATGAAATTGATAATTTGGTCACCACATTGCTGGACTTGGAGGATCAATAAACTAAGTACAACGGGTAGGCAGACAAATGTACGGCATAGTTGCACAAAGCATGTCAACTGTCCAGGAAGAGTGTGAACTAAAACTTCATATCCTTTATTAATAATGAATATGGTAAAACAATACACTATACAATATCAGATATCTGTCCTCTAATAATAATTGTAAGAGTTATAATTTAGAAATCGTGTGAGCTATATACAATTTGTTTCTATGTACAAACTTAAACATATTTTCAACTGAATGAAAACTTTAGTAACATTTTGTTAAGCATTCAAAATTTCTTTAAAATATGGTTCACAAATCTTAAAACTTTCTTTCCTCAAGCAAAATTACAGAATATTTCTTTGAGTATTTACAAATTGTTTTAAAAGCTTATTATAAATATTTAATACTGTAAATTTTTATGTAATATTTTTTGGTATTTTATCCAATATTGTTCGTTGTATGATTCATAATATTTCTTACATCATTGAAAAATAAAATTTGAAATTTTGCTTAAAAGTTACATTCATTTGTAGAATTTAGATTGAAAGCCAAATACTCCTCTCAAGCTCTGTATCCATATATAATTTTTCCAAGTAATATGACCCATGTCCAATTATTCCAACTGTAAGGTACAGTAATACGGGAAACAAAATTGCCCAACTTGTTGCACAACATTGTTACATCGCAAGTTTCAGAGCAAATGTTACTCGTATATTACTACTCCATGCAAAAGAAATTTGCAGAAATTTCTATCTTCTCTTTGCAACTTTGAAAATTTGTTGTTGCAGAATGTGGCAATACAAGCAACGCTTGCTCTGTAACTCTGCAACGCAACAATGTTGTGCGACACCTTTTATTTCCATAACATCAATGTGACGCACAACTTCTTGAACCAAATGATTTCTGAAATAATGAAATATAAATCCACAAATTATAAAAAGGTCTTAAGGTCACATAATTATGAAAATGAATACAAATTTAGAGATTGGTCGAGAAGTCAAAATATCATATCACTACTAACCCCTTGCATCATTCGTTTTTTCCTTTCTTCAAATTCATCTTGAGTCATTTTCTTTGCTTTTAGAAAATTTCCATCTTCCACTGGATAGAAAAAATTGAAAATAAATTTATTTACCAGAAAACCTATTATGAGGAGAGGGGGGGGGGGAGGGTGGAGGAGAAAATGGGGGGCCCTTCCCTTCCATTTCCTTCCCTTTCCTTCCCTTCCATTTCATTCCCTTTCCTTCCCTTCCTTTTCCTTCCCTTTCCTTCCCTTTCCTTTCCTTCCCTTTCCTTCCCTTTCCTCCACTTGGACCCATTGATCTCACAAAAAAAAAAATGAAGACACTAACCAGAAGATTCAGATTCCAATTCCTTGTCATAAAGTAATTGTGACTGTAGAGAACAATGTTCTGCCTTTTTCATAAATTCCTCTAGACTGTTATGCATCCTAAAGATTTTCCCAAAATTACATTACTTCAAATTTGACATTTGACAAGGCTAACAATGGGCTTCCTGTGGATAAAGCCTACCACAGGTAACCCATCTACTTACACATTTATAGCTGCTTGATTTGTAGCTCCCCAAGTGTCAGCATTGTAAAAACAGTTTTTCATAAATTTTATAATTTGCCTAGAGAAATAGAATAATAAATTAAAGATAAAATATGATACAATTGTTATGATTGCTAATATTGTTACGAAGGAAACATCATTATTTATTGGACATAGGGTGTGTTGTACTGGGTAGTAAAACCAACCAGATGATCTTGTGCTGACAGCCTATTAAAAACCAGCCAATCATAACTCAGAAAAAAATGTGATAGGGTAAAAGACTAAATATAGCTGCCACAGCCAGATAATAAACTCTGAATCTCTGCTTTCCTAGCTACTTTGCTTTCACATGCTTTCAGTTCAACCCTGTTGAGCTGCACTATTTCTGAACTTAGCGGTGGTGATTAGCGATGACAATTTTATTTTATTCAATTTTTTTTCTTTTTTATGGACTAGCAATGCATTTAAAATTCTACCTATACATGCAATGACTACCTATGGATCCAATGTTGCATTGATTGAATTTTTTGATGAAATTAGCATGAAATGCTACTTCTTCGTTCACCAATAAACAACTGAAACCTGATCAATTACAACTATCCTTTGTGCGCGTTCCCCAAGATCACCTGGAAGAAGGGAGGTGGATGGGGAAATGGATGACAAATTCAGGACACCTCAAGACAGCTTGGCTTTTGGCTTCCAACAACCCTATTATTAAAACACGGGAAAAACTTACCATACACTGTGCTTCTCTTTTCTCCAGGTAGGGAAAGCAATATCCAAATTTAGGACTCTATGGAAACCCAAAAATTTTTTTTTAGATTATCCAATGCTTAACAATTATTTGCCAAAGATACTTATTTATAATTATTAGAAAGCAATACTTTATAATTAATGGAAATAACACAAAATATTTTGTACATTTTATAAACTGTATACTGACCCATTGGGATGAATTTGTGGATGGAAAACTGGAGTAGTGAATTTAAGAAGTGGTCTACTGTCTGGAAAGCTGTTGATTTGAAGAAAATATATCTATATATTAAAAGCAAAGATTTGTCTTAATACTCCATGCCAAGTATTAATTAATGCATTATAGGAGGTGTCAAATATAGTTTGAGAACACTAAGACTGGCTCCAACAGAGACTAAGTACAGATTTAAGCTCAACGACTATATAACAATTAAAAAAACTCCACTAGAAGGACGTTTTTTACTTACTCATCTGGTAAGAAGACAAAAAATCTGAATATTCCATCTCTATAAGGACCAGCTCTCAAAAAAATTATACCATGCCAGACTAAAAGGATTAAGCAAAGAATTGATTAATTATTTTTTAGAAAATTAATATCATCATACTATTTTATTCTTTCTGTATAATGCATTTTCACTCATGTGACTTAAGGCAACCATATTGGTGTACCAAATGATTAATGGAAACTTTCTGCACAGTTTTTGAAAATCTTGTTTTGGTACACCAACATAGTCCCTGTGATATCACATGAAAATGCACGCTTTATTCTAATATTTTAGTCATATCTTGAAAAGCCTGCAGTAGTCTCCTATGAAGCCACTATTAGTTTCATCACACAACACTCATTACCAGGGGAGTGAGCTTTCTGTGACGAAACTAATAGTGGATGTGTAGAGACTAAGACTGCATCAGCTCTCTTGAATATTGTCTTGATCAGTTCATTGTAATGAAAAAAGTGATAAGTATAAAAATCAGGATTTATACACTTCGAGGAGGAGGTGGGTATAGGCTATTCCACCCCTCTTGTCTAAATAAGGTTCAGTTAGAGGGCTATTTGACCTCATTCCTAGCCCTAAGCCCTAACCCACTATATAATAATTTCTTTTCAATTTAATTGGCTGGTTTGGACCTTAATCATGTGGTAGATGGATTCCCCCACATGGCCTCACATTCACGTTCTTCAGGATGAGGTTAAGTGTGGTTAAACAAAGTTTCTTATTATCATGGGAATAAACATGGAGCCATGTGAAAAAGGTCCATAGCCCTGCAAAGTGCATAAGACGTACACTTGTCTATTTGGCAAAAGGGAGGTTATTTAAGAGACTGTTAATATTCTTACCTTGTAAAGACTTTAGAGATGGCATTACATATACTCCACTTTGGTGATTTGTACATAATGATTTACTAAAAAGGAAGAGAAATAAAAGAGACCAGAAAGTAAGCATAAAAATAAAGAACAAAGGTTGACGGGAAATACCGACATGTTTACAATTTGTAACAAACTCTTGTGTTTGCAAAATGTCTTTTCATCTTACAATATTAGATTACAATGGCCATAATTATAAACAAATTTTGTAGACCCACAATTCAAAAAACTAATACCACTGATACTTACTATTCTGAAAAAATATAATGTTCCCGAAAAAATGAACGGAAACCATCAGTTCGTTGCGTCGTTTTTGATTTAACTTTGCTTTCATCTTTAGAGATTTCGTCGGTGTCGCCTGTGGAGAAAATGAGTCTGGCCCGTCCTGGATATTGAGGGATGAGCTTTCTTGCAGATCTTAAACGTTCACGAAACGTAGGACTCTCTGAACTTGAATTTGATTTGTTAGGACTTGAAGAGGAAATATCTGTAGTTGTAGTAGTAGTAGTGTCGCTGTTTTGTGAAGACGAAAGACTGCTTACTATCGTAACAGCACTTTTTGTAGGAGATTCTGAATTCATGGTTTTTTTGGCGTCTTTAAAACAAGAAATACTTAAAGCTTCTAAGTCGTTGTTGACTTTCGGAGAATAAATTGGACTTTCCGAAGGCATATTTAAATGTAACTACGATGTTGACTCGCAACTACTCTTCTCGTATTGAGCAATGTTACTTGAGACGAAGAGGAAACGATCGAGTTTCACTTTCACCTTCGTGCCTTTTGACGCGAAATGCTTGCTTTTTCTTTCACGTTGTAAACTCTTTACTCCAGACAAGTGTACACTCTATTAAGCACGTTTAAACAAACTCTCTTCCTTCACTGTAGTATATAGTACGTTCTCCCTAAAGTTATAGTTTACATGTAATAATATATAAACTTATTTCTCAGCAGCTTCAAATGAATAATGAAATACGAAAGCGATGCTTTCGAGTTTTGATCTTTAGCCACAATGAACAAGAGATGACGATACTTGTCAATAATTTATAACTGAAGGAGCCTCAAGGGAGAAATACCTGCACTTTGGATGACTTTTTATTTTGATTGTGCTTCATCACGTGCTTTAAATAATATATTATTCTAAATATTTTTGAATATAAATCTAGAGCTGACTTACCTAAAACATCTCTGTGTTGATGACGGAAGCTTATGAAGACAGTTTCCTTAGGATATTAGGAGAATAAATTATTCCTTCGGTGCCACAAACTTCACCAAACTACATCCATCGGTTTTGTGCACATATTGAAAATTCATCATAGTATTCGCGCAGTTCATTTTTAAGACCAAAAAAAGTGAAAATAAATAACTTGTAAGATTAAGAATAACTTAATGGAAGAATATTTTGAAGCTTGCAGTAATTGTGGAAGAAAGAACATTTTTGAAGAACATTTTGAAAACCCCGCGAAACTTTCCGCCATCTTTGTTTGATTGAGCCTGCAATGTAGGTTTATCCGCTGATATAAGGAGGGTTATGATTGGCTGGTTATTTAACGGTTATTTTGATTGGTGAAAAGAAAGGTTCGCGGAACACTTGAAAACACGAAACAAATGTGAGGCTTTTATCATCAAGAAACCTCTTAAAAAAACCCAATTTTTCACACTTTTTCACCAAGGATACCCACAATATGAACAAGAAGGATACTAGAGATCCTTACGCAGCTATCTGTCTGAGCCGATTGACCAGACTTCTTGATCTAGACATATTAGAAGACTTACAAGAACTGGAAGATAGTGGGAATGTCATGAAAAATTTGGAGTTGGAAAACCAAGAGAAGCAAAACCGTAGTTTTATCGCTAAATCTACTGAGAAAATAAACAGAATTATTAGTCGAAAAGGTAAGTTCTTGATGTTAGCATTTGTAAATCTCATAGCATAAAATTATTGAATATGTATATGGAATTAATAACAAAAATAAGCTTTGACTATAAAACTTGAGCTTTAAAATCTTACTATTATAAAATCTGATCTTTTCCATGTAAAAAATATGCATAGCAACTTATATAAACTACGAACCAGAAAATCTTAAATTAAGACAATTTTAATGATAATCAATAATCAAATATTCCAGTTGATATTCGACATTAAATGATTAGTTTACTTTTATTTATTTATTTTTTGAGATTCGTTAAAATGTGACATTTGTTATTTTATATTCCATGTGGTACTATTGTCCTCTCATACTGAATCCTTTGTTATCTTCATTCTAAGGATGACAGTTGACTTTCAAAACGAGTTACATGTAATACTGAAACAGCGCAGCTTACAAGTCAGATTTCAGTTTCAAAAAACTGTGTGTCCCAATGGTTTTTGGAACTTATTATTTCTTCTCTGATCCCAGAATCAGTTAATGAATTTAAAATCTAATGTTAAAATATTTTATTTGAATTTTGAATCATGTAATAAAACTTTAGGGTCATTATTGTGGTTTTCCATATTCTGTGAATTCAGTAGTTGTGAGCTGCACGCTGAAATTTGATTTTTCGCTGCCGTCAATTACCAATAATCGTCGGTACTCCTCATGTTGTTGACTGGCAGCAGTAAAAAAAAAGACAATTTCACAACAAGCTGTTGAAATGTCTGAGTTTGCGTAAATGTGTATATAGTTCCAAAAATTATCCATATACCCCCATCACGGAGGAGTTTTTTTAAGACACCCCCTATCCCCTGAAAATTCCAATTTTCTTCCATACAAACTCTGTAATTTTTATTCTTTCTCTGACCCCCTTACTCTTGGGAAATTCCAAAATCCTCTGTGGGATGGGTATGGATGATTTCTGGAACTACACAATATTGAAAACCACAGTTACCCATTTTTTCATTGGCCCAATTGACTGGTAAAATGTTAATCACTCATGTGACCACCATTTTTGGTCATGATTTTGATGTTATAGACCAGTCTTATGATTGATAAAAGAAAATTTATTTAATGTGTTGTTTGTAGGTCACCATCACAATGTATTTGGTCATCAACTCAATGACGAGGCAGTTCATAGAATCTTGCCCCTTATCGATTATCTAAAGTCTTGTAAGTACCTGACAAAAAATTGCATAGATATGCATAATATGCAATGCCTGCATGATTCCAAAAGAAGAAGATCTGGCAAAATGATCATACCTATATAATACCATTGAAAGTTACTGTATTTATTTATTACCAACTGTATACCACTTCTCAACCCTTTCTCTCCTCTCCCCCCCTGAAGCCTCACTCTCCCTCCTCCTGCTTAACTCCCCTCCTCTTACTGGACAAAACATTGGAAGTAGCCATCCTGCAGTAGCCTTCTATGCAGATATCCTTAAGCTGACCCCAAGCAGTCATACAGCTGACCCAAAGCAAGGATGTTGGTGTGGGGTGAATATATCCTACAGACGTAAAAAAAAATATAGAGGCTTTGCACCATCACATGATGGCAGCTATGACAGGAGGCACAACAATTAAGTCATTTTTCCCTGGGGAATTGAATTCTTTCTCATGTAAATCAGATAAGACCATATTCAATCCTATCATTGCTACCATCACGTGATAGTGCAATTAGCCTAGACTATTAACCTTGAAAAACTGAAGTGGTGTGCAGTACTAATTCTGGACTAAGAACAATGAACATTTTGTCTCATTTCTCTTCAGGCATCAATGTAGAAGGCATATTTCGTGTCCCAGGAAGCAAGAAAAGACAAGAAGAGCTCAAAGAGTTCATTGATAAAGATAATCTTGCTGTAAAGTTGACCAGTGGGAAGTTCACTCCACATGATGTGGCTTGCGTATTGAAGCAGTTCTTAGCCGAGATGCCAGAACCTCTTCTGACTCATGCTCCACACGAGGCATATGTAAAGGTCACAGGTGGGTGGCTCTAAGAATTTACAACCAAAATATGTTCAGTGGCGGATCCAGGGGTGGTGAAGTAGGTGACTAGTAACCCCCCTCTTGCTCAACTTTCTCAGTATATCGTTAGTAACAGTCACCTCCCATTTTCTCGAATTTCTGTATTAATCCTTTGTAATAGTCACCCCCTTCTAAAATTCCTGGATCCACCCCTGATGTTACACTATATATTGAAGCATTGCAATGTTCTCAGGACCTAGCATATGTAAGGGAGGATGAGCCTATGGTTTCAAATTGAAATCCAAATTTAATACATGAGTATTTCACATAAAAGACTGCAATCACTCTCTGCATGATCTCAGATGCAACACAATGAAATTATCTTTCCCTAAGTCTTCCATTCACTTCCCTCCCTATCATTTCCCTTTCACTTTTCTCTCTTCACTTTTCCTTCTCTTTGCTCCTCTGGTTTTCCCTTCCTCTTCCCTTGTTTTCCTTTTTTCCCATTTCCATTCCCTTCCCTACTTTTTTCCTTACTTTCCCTCCCTTTTTTCCACATTTCCCTTTCCTTCCATTCCAATTCCTCTTATTCTCTTTGGCTTCCTGTTTCTTCCCTCATTTCAATCCCTCTTCTCCTTTCCTAAAACTAATTGGGGCAGCTGGAGAGAGGAGAGAATCTTATCCTCGATACCTATCTTTCTTTATTTCATTTTGAAGAAATCAATAATGATCAAGACAATTCCAAGCACAAAGAGGCTCTTCAGTTGCTGTTTCTTATGATACCGCCAGAGAACAGAGCTATTCTTTACCACTTACTAGATTTACTAAATAGAATAAGCAGCAACATAGAGAGCAAAATGACTCCACACAACTTGGCTGTAGTCTTCTGTCCAACTATCCTGTACACTAAAAGGGTAAGATAATTACAGTAGTTTGTAATAATTGTTATTGGTTGAAAAATGTGTGTTACTTTACAGTGCAAATCAAAAAAACGTGGGCACCTAGAAATATTTCAAGAATTTTCAAAAGCTAATCAGAAGCAATATTGTTATCTTTCCGTTATCTTGTGGTTTGAAAGTCAATTCTGATTGACCAAAGAAGAATAGAACATTCCTAGAATATTTCTAGATGCCCACACTTTCAATTCCCACTGTAATGATCATGTTTTTTCTACTTTGTAGATTAAGGTGTCTTGCTTGAGCCAATACCCTGAAGATTTAGATGCTATGAATGAAACTGTAGCGTTTATGGTTACTCATGGAACAGAACTATTTAAGGTAACACCAAACATTTATGACTCAGTACCTTGTCTTACGCAGGAAGAGTGCACACAAATAGTCACTGCTTCTTGGGTCTGTAACTAACTACCTAGCACCAAGTGCCTCAGAAACCCTATCTTATGAGCTTACTCTCAAAGGCATCATCTCTAGCAATCATATTTTAAATAACACTTACAATAGAAGCTCTGAAATTTCTTTGGTAAGCTGTACACTTGCACCGACTTGGCTGCATATTTCATAACTTGAAAACCAAGACTTATTTATTTTGTTAGTATGTACTTGTGTATTTTTCATGCATGACTGCTTTAATTTCATTTGTTGACAGATTCCAGAAATAGTGAAGAAAGAAATAAAAGCAATGAAGAAAAACATAGTCAAAGGAACGGTAAGACAGACAGGAAAGGTAAAAGGCAGGAAAGCAGACAAACAGGTAGATTGTTTAATAGACAGACAGATTACTTAAATAAGAATTCTCTGCTGCTTCTCGCATGCATTGATACCAAAACTCTCTGCTCTGACTAGAGACTAGTGCAAAAATAGATAGTCTATTCACCACTTTCCAATCAAGGCTGCAAGGTAGTTCCAAAGGAATGTTAAATGTGAACTGGTATGAGAAAAATAAATAAAATAATCACTAATAGCAAGTTTTTGCTTTAAACAACAAAAGTTCAGTATTTGTAAAGAGAGAACTTTAGCAAATTGTTGGATTTCTTTTTCAGGATGAAGAGGTTCCTATGTCCCACACTTTTTGCCAACAAATGGACAACAAGAAACACAGACAGACAGTCCAAGACACAACATCAGAAGCACTTGTCAGCTTATACAACCATATGATGGACATGCCAGATGGACCAGTAAAACAGAAGTTTTTAGAAAGGGTAAAATACATTCAAATGTAGAAGGAAATGACTTGAATGAATGTCAGAAAACGGTATGGTTTTCAAATATGTTCAGTTGACTTGCCTTTTTAATATTTTTTTGCATTTTATAGTTTGAAAAAGTTCATCCTGGTACTCCTCCATTTATGCCAAAGTCAAGAAACAGGGTGAGTCGTGGTTTAGCCTTGTTCATTAACTTATTTCTCCTTCCACCCCTCCCATACAGCTCTTCTCATTCGTTGAATGGTTTGGGAGCAAAAAAAATTGTTGCGCAAAATTCCACAGCGCAACTTTCGCGCTTTGTTGCGCAAAATTTCGCATGAGAAATTTTGCTGTGCAAATAGCTGCATTTCGTATCCGTTCATCTCACAGTCGATGTGCCTTCGAGTTACCCCGCAATATGTCAACGATAACTGCAGCGATGTTTGAAACAAGGGAGGTCAGTTGCACAATTTGAGCTAAGTACACGGATTACTAGCCATGCGATATTGCCCCGCACACCATTACCTCATGTGTCTCTGTTCAATATAGCAACCTGATCTGTGACATAAGATGTCTCCACTCCTTAACTTCTCTGATTTAGATATTTTTCTAACTTTGTTGTATATTTTTAGGACAAACCAAGTCGGTTAACCTCATCAACTCCCATCGCGTCAACATATTCACCAGGATCCCTCGCGCGATATCCATTATCCCCCATCAACATGGACAGTACTACTAACTCCTCAAGACACGACATTTCATCTTGTAAAAAGGTTGCCTTCAAATCACCAGAACCCCCATCTACCGCCCAAAAGATGGCCTTCAATAGATTCGCGCCTTATAGAAAAGAAATGAAGACACCATCAGGGTTGATCTCGCCTTGCAAGACACCACAAACCTTTGGTAAGAAGTCCAGGCACCGGCGAACAAGCTCTGCTGGAAGCGTTAGTGATTTTTCTCCATTTCGTCGTAAGAGAACGCGCACCGGCCACGTGCAAAACCCACTACAGACACCATCTGGACGTATTGCTACCCCACAAGCCATGGATACACCCAGTGAATCTATTATTAAACTGTATGGGACTCCGACTATCAGGAAGAGGATCACTAGTACTGATTACTTGGTAGGTTGAAAGTAACTGTTAATCCAATCAAAATGCTCTGACACAACACGATCACGGTCACGGCACTGGACGTCCATTAAACGCAAGTTTCAAAAATTTTCACATTTCAAAACATTCCGCTCTAATATTGATTCCCATAGAAAATCATCGTGACAGAGTGATTTGAAAGATTTTGCTTTCATTTCCTTTCCTAGGGAGATGATGACTGAACGACTGTCAAGAGATTAAAGCTCAGCAGTCAGGACGAACTGTAAATAGCCCATTCGCTCTCTTTACATTCTTTCATTATTAATAGAAAAACAAATGTTACAAGCCATGTAAATAGTAAAACGGCGACAACAGAAGTTAAATTAAGTTAGTTTTAATTAAGAACTATTATTTAGTAGAAAGTTAAAAAACAGTACAATCAACAGGAAAAAAAACTTCAGTTTTAAAGTAAATCAAGCTTAGTTGCGAGGTTCTTCTTTCTGTATGATATACAAAGATATGTGATATTAAACAAAGTTGAATTACAAATAAAATGTCTTAGGCCTAAAAATAATCTATAGCCTGGGTTAAGAGAAATAAAACCGGCTGAATTCATGTTAGGACTGCTAGGACTATCTAAAAACATTCTTTTGTCTTTGCCAAAATCAATTTTCACCCTAACATTTTTTGACTGAAGTTTTCGCGGAGTATATTTTACCTTCAAAATTTAAATATACGTTTAAAAAGTTCTCACAAACGCAGTGACGTAGCGAGGAAGAGGCGACCCCTAAAACGTTATACTCAACTACGTTTGTCGTGTGTATTGGCGGGAAAATGTCACCTAATTATAATGATCGAGACCTCTCTACGCCCCAGCACCTACAAAATTCTTTGCAAATATCTAGCTGTATATTATAAGAATATTAATTACTGATTTACAACTCTTTCTGAATTAATAGAAGAAATTATCTCTAATGCTTGTGTAGATTTTCAATTCTTTATATCCATTTGTTTCAGTTAATGTGAAAAAAAATTTTCTATTAAGAATCTGTGTTTTCAGATATTTTACGGATACATTTTTCAGTTTATATTCACCTTTTCATTGACTGTAGCGTTTGTAATCGTAAATACTTCTGGGGCGTATGTCTCTTCAATTCGTTCGTCTTGTACATGTAACCGGTTACCTTGGAAACAGGCAGAAAATAGATCGGGTTAAAAACTGAATATCTTTATTTCAATAATAGGGTAGCTCAGTCTAGTATTATAATACATAAACGAAACTGTTAACCATACGGAGAGGACCCATAATTTATAATAATTAATGATAATAATTAGAAAATTATTAACTTACAGTTGAGGAAATGAATGAGTGGAAAAAAGAAAGCAATCAAGAATGAATGTGATTTTCCATATTGTCCTGATAGTGAGGTGGCTTAATGCAAAGATCGTTACAATCTGGAAGAAAGCACCAAAATTGGTACAGAAATCTCTTGTTTCACTTTTAACTAATTCAGAAGGGGTGCCAGTGAATTTCATATAACGGGGGTGGGGAGGGGGGAGGATTTGTTTTGGATGAAGGCTGTCACTACCTTTTAAAAAATCAACTGAAAATTCCCCTCTCCACAGATTTTGTGGCCTCTATTCTAAATATGGTCTACAGGGAATAAGTTGACTCTGAGCCAAATTTCATTCTTTCTTCCAGTCTGTCACGATTGCCAATAATTGACCTTAAGCCACCTCATTATAGCTATGATGCGTTTATCAATGTATCATGTAACCTGCAAGCTAAGCTAACCTATTCATGCATATAATGACAAGCCATTACTTTCGGTCTAAGCAGTACCATAATAATATAAAAATTATCCAATTTGTTCTGCTATTTTCACTACTTACTTTTCCCTAGCACAGCAACACAGGCCTGTTTTAGCTCCTTGACTCGCAGGAAGTGAAGAATAGGGTTCAAAAACGAATTCAAATACAACAAAGTCAGTGTGACTTCCCATGCAATCATGAACTCCTTGGATCGTCCATAGACTGCGATAGTTATTATAACACTCACGAAAGGGACGTAGCAGAAAACCAGACAAGTAACGATCATGACCAGGGTTTGCAGTACGCGTTGGTGACTGCTACCATTCACTGACCCGTCTTGTCTTCGTCTGGGGACTTGCACTTGGATTGCTCGTAGACCTTTTAGAGATTTTAAGTAGCAATATACTATGATTGATAGAAAAATGCACAATAAAGCTGCGGCTATGCTCATGTATTTGGGACTCTTGGCTCGAAAGCGCGAGTACGTAACGCATCCAGCACAAACCATCGTAAATGCGAGGTACTCCAGGATATGGATGTTGGTTAATGACGTGTGGTATCTGTTTCGTAGTTTGATGGCAAGGTAACGATCTACACTGATGGCTGTTACAATAAAGAACGAAGGGCTACAGATAATGTGTGCAGCCACGTTACCAGTCTTGAGCAGGAAACAGTACGTCTCGAAGGAAGACAAGAGAAAAGACACTTTACGAGCAATGTACAAAGGCTGAACCAGGATTCCAACGCCAAAATCCGTGAAAGCCAAGGCACAGATCAAGACGAAGGAAGGCTTGCGAAGACTTGGAGTTGAGAGAATAGAGACGATAAGAAGAAAGTTTAGAATAGTTGTTGGGACGGCAAGTACACCGTTTAGTATACAGATGAGGACACCAGTAGTAGGGTCGAAATATGCTGGGTTTCTGTTGTGAGACATTGTCATCCCCGGACAAAGTTCTCTACTGGCGTTCATCTTTGGCGTTAGACTTGCTCACGGCTTCCTGGCTTCCGCAATCACCTCTGGGTCATGTAAACCCCGTTCAATGAAAAAACGTCACTGATCATCCCAACTTTCACAAACCAAATGTAAAGGTTTTCTGAACGTAACTTTTTCGACAATTTTTTTCTAAGTAACATATAGTTAACATATAGTTCTTTTATCTCTTTTTTATTTATTATTATTCGCAGAAATCGTCTTCGCGGTGGTGAAATTGTTCTCTACATTGTTCACAGGTGATACGTCTTTACACTAGATGTTTATATATAAATCATATTGACAATTTTCTAGGACGCTCTAACTAGTTTCATTCAGAGTGGTTTTTATTGACCCGTAAAATACACTTTACATTATTAATTATAAGCAATATCTCACGGTAATTCTTTTGTTTTCTATATTGTCTTTTAATAGTACGCTTCGTTTCACGGGCTAATAAAAACCACTCTAAGAATCGCGCTACGACAAGTCTGGTTCCAGCGGGTGCGTGGTCATGGGAGGCGAAAAATGTTTCCTAAATAAATAACAAATGTTTTGTGTGTGTTTTTTTTAAGAGACCGTCTTCGGCGTGTCGAAACTGGTCATACATTTAACTGACTACATTGTTACCTGGTGATACGTCTGTGCAAGATTTCTATATATAAATCATTAATTGACAGTTTTCCAGCACGTGCCGACTAGTTACTAAGTTGCCTGTGGAAGCCCAGTCGTAACATGCCTTTGGTTTTTACTGGGTTGCCTGTGACAACAAATAGTAATTGATGTAATTGATTTTTTGTTTCAACAGAATTTCTAATTGCTGTTACTTTATATTAGTTTATAGATGAAATTACTACTTGTTCTGCAGTAGAACCAGAAAGGAATCAACTTACGATCGACAACATCTAGGTGACCCTGCTGCTTTTTCCTGGTGCTATGATAGCAAAAAAGGTGTTTTAAGCAGTCAGCACCCAGGCAAGTCCGAGGAATTGCAGACGCCGAGTTTTTAAAGGCACTATAAGAAATGAAAAAAAGAGAATTGCGGGTTTATTACTAAGGTTCGTCCAAGGTTCGTTTGTAAAATATAAAGAACTTCCACATGTCTACCATTTAGTCGAGGAAATAAATGAATATGACGAGAAATATTTGTGTCAGTGAGTTGGTTGGGCTTCCTGTGGGTATTATAACGGCGAATTGCTGTGGCCAAGTAGCCATTGAAAAGATCTAGGCTATATGGCTACGTGGCTACGTGGCTACATCAGTGGCTACGTGGCTACATCAGTGGCTACGTGGCTACATCAGTGGCCACGGGCTTCCCACTATGAATTTGTGGTTATATACTCCATGGCTGAATACCATGGATGCATCGGCATATGAATATGTAATTCTCCATCTTTATAACCATCCTTCACCATCCCTGGCCATCCCTTGCTATCCTTTACCATCCCTAACCATCCTTCACTATCCCTGGCCATCCCTTGCCATCCTTTACCATCCCAAGCCATCCCTAACCATCCCATGGCAAGGAAAGGACGGCCATCCCTAACCATCCCATGGCAAGGAAAGGACGGGGGCCATGGGGGCAAGGGAAGGCCAGGGAAGGCCAGGGGGCCAGGGGGCAATAGGAGCCAGGGGGGCAGGGAGGCCAGGGGTCCAGGGGGGCAAGAGGGGCCAAGGGGGCAAGGG